ACTCTTTTCTAGTCGGACTGAATAGGTTTTCAAGAGAAGATACAGAGCTTGGTGGAACTTGATGTAGATAATGAGGTTCTCCTAAACAGAAATGACAACTGATCATATGATTTTTTTACTGAATATAACATTTATTGTTACATGACTTCTTAGTACTTGCACATAAATACAAGTGTGCATGAAAACTCACCAAGGCATTTCTCCCTCAGCCTACCTAGAAAGGGAAAGAGGTTTACGTTTCAATATCTGATCAGTGTTGAGAGGATACACAAGCAAGGTAACGTGGTTTTGGTTTGGTTTTTTAATTACTAAATTACACCTGTTAAAAAGCTTGTCTATCCAAAGAGAGCTTATGTTCACATAGTGTTTTTAAAGGAATGATCCCGTTTGACCAGGAAACTTTGCCTTCAGAGATCATGGGCTTACAGTTTAAGCAAAGTACTGGAATATTTTTCATTTATTTAAAGACTGAAGAGGAAGAGCCCTCAAGCCACTGCCACTCTCAAAGCGTATTGCTGAAAAAGGAAGCTGTTTGCCAGGAGGGAGTTGGCAAATGTAGATTTTACAAGTAATGCATGTTGGGTGTTTTGCTGGCTCAGGCTGGGGGTGTTACTTTTTCCTGGGTTTGTTTTAGTTTCCATTTCTCGGTGGCAGTTTCTCTACTGGTAATCTTACTGATGCTTGGGTTGTAAATGTCAAAGCATGTGTTAATACTGAGAAATCTCCAGTACTGAGCAATCTGATATTGTTCCGTTGTCCTGACGTGTTGTTTTAAAATAGGGACAATTACTTCAGTTTTTCTGAATGTTCTTGGAAATGCTGTAGTTTTGCAGAACTGGTATCCTATGTAGCAGTGACTGGGTGATGAATTACAGCTTGTCAAGTTCATTAATATTTTTGTAGTGGAGAGGCTGATCCCATTAGTGATTTTGTCCCTCAATTTAGGTATTCTCTCCTTTTTCTGGAGCTGTTTGGTAGCTGTTGAGCTTACTGAGAAGGCAGAGACAGCAGCATATAACTGTAAAATAAAACTGTTCACAGTTAGTGCAAATTTAGGACCAGTTTAAGAAGCAACAGAACTTGCAATTAGCTCTATGGTTTGAATTACTCAAGATCACTCCTGGCTTCTGCAGGTGTGAACATGTTATATAACAGATCAGCGTGTGACACTGAGTTACCACTGTACACGGTACAGGGAGAGACAACTGACTTCTAATAAAAAAAAATAAATTATTCTTACAGAATCACTTAATATGAGCATTCCTTTTGAAAACAGAACAGTTAAATTAGATTTTCTTATCCCGTACTAGCTCAAGTGTGTCATTGAAGAAGTGGCTTACAGCATAATTTCTAATATTATTAATAAAAATACACTGTGCCCAGGCTATATCCATTTATTGTATAAATGTGGGGAAAATGTATTCTTGTATTATGTCTTTGTAATGGGAATCTTTTTTGCTTGGGAGGACATCTTTGAATTTACTTTTTTTCACTAAACTAATTTTCTATCTAAGTACCAAGTTATTAACAGCAAAACCTTTTTTTTTTTTTATTTAACAAAAGTAAAATTTAAAGATACAATGTCAGTAGATAGTGATGCATTTTTAGGACCAGTCCTTTACTGAACCAAATTAGATTTATCTAAATCCAGTAGTAGTAGTGATATACAGGGATATTCAGAAGGCTCATTTTGCAATACTTTTGTTCTAATGCAAGTCCATTTGTCCTAATTTGTGCCTGTGACATTAGTGCTTAGTGGGGGGTGCACCAGATTTTAGGCAGGTTCAGTGTTGTTGTCTGATGCACCTTTCAGGAGCAATTTAAAGAGTATGGCTAATGCTTTGGAATTTTGTTTCTAAATTCACTGCATTAGATATTCGTTACAGCAGTAAGCTTTTTGATACATACTGTGGACAGAAATGTAACTGCAGTTTCTTTATTCAAGAATATCTAAGTTGACTACTGTAATTTTTTTCGAGTTTTGTTAGACAGGAAATTTTGCTAAATTGGGTTAAATTTGAGGCAAGAATGTATCATTTGAGGACTGGCATTTTAGAGATGGTGTATAGCTCAGCTTTGTATGCAGCTTGTATCTGGCGTAGGTTAGGTAGCCATATGTGAAATAGAATTGTGTGTGTAGAAAAAAATCTTTTTAATCACAAAGATAAATGAAACCAGATGGTCCAGATTTCTTTTTTGTGAATGCATTTGCTTAGTCCACAATCTTCAAGCGTTGGGAAAG